GCGTTAATCTTGATTGTCGATGTAAAGAATCATAAATAACAAAAGTTTTATCTGAAAGAATCTATAATAAAACCAAAAATAAATATTATTGTTATAACTATAAAAATATTTTTTATTTAATATATACACTTACTCGCAGTTTAACTAAAGTAATTATGACTTTATTTAAAATATCACAATTTTGTACTCTTGTGAGCAATGAGCATTCAGCAATTTTTTGAAATACATAAAGCCTATTAACCATAGTCATCATATTGGTTATTATATCTCAATTCACTAATCTAACATGTTGAACATAGTTTGAATAATCTATTGTTGTGTTCATATCAATTGCTAATTTGAGTTTAATATTTGTTATTGTTTGATTAAAAAAGTTATTATCAATTTCTAAATATATAATATTATTTTTAGGGAAACGATTTCTTTGTTTAATACTACTGTAAAGATTAGAACTATATATTCTTCTGTTAATATCTTTCGGATAAAAATTTTAAAATTAAGAATACATATAATATATAGATTATGAATCTAGAATACGTTAAAAATAATTAAAAAAAATACAACGTTGTAGAGATTTTGAAAAGAAATAATTCAAAAGAAAATGACAAATAAATTAAGGAAGTTATTATTAACAGCAGCATTATCAAAGTTAGTGCCGCAATCTGAAGCTAATAATTTATATCCTGTGAATGTACTGTTATCGATATCAGCGCCGCAATCTGAAGACAATAATTTATATTCTGTAAATACACCGTTATCGATATTAGTGCTGCAATCTAAAACTAATAATTTATATCCTGTGAATGCACTATCATCGATGTTAGCACCGCAATCTGAAGCCAATAATTTATATCTTTTGAATGCATCATTATTTGGTGGTGTAAGTGAAATAATAATATTTTTATTATTTTTATTTACAATAAATCTAATTAGTCTTATTATAAAAAGAATCTGTAAAATTAGACAATACGAAAAATTATATTCTCTTTTATAAAAAAGCAAAACTGTTGTAAGTGTTTCAACTTAGAGCTATCTAGCTATTATTAGAGAAGTATATAACATATTTGTTTATAAAAATTATATTTTTTAGTGATTAACTTAAAATTGGAATCCTCTGTGATCTACAATAAGTATTCATATAGCTTAATCTCAAAAATATAAACAACTATTGGATTAGCTAGTTCAATTTTCTGATATTAGCGAAGCAATTATTTAAAGAATCAATAAAGCTAAACAAATTATGAACATTAAAGAAGCCAACTGGATGTTGAAATCCTGGTATCAACAAGATGATTTATTTTCATTTAATTTTGAATTATCGATGCAAAGTTTAATCCGAAAGTTAGTTAAGAGAGTGTATGTTTTTTTTTAATTATATTTATTGTTGCCAAAAAATCAGACTTTAGGCTTCTAAATTTATAATTTTTTGTCTAAACTTACCAAATTATTTATGGTTTGATCTAGTAAGTTATAGATTTAAAAGCCTGAAGCCTGGTTTTGATATCATACATTTGTTGCTAAATTATTTTTTTTTTTAATTGGATTTTTTTTTTTGGTTTGGAACTAGTGTTTCGAGTAAAACTATTTTTAAAATCCGAAATATTTCAGCAGAATGAAATAGTTTCGCCCCTGGCAAAACATTTCAGATCCTCCTGAAGCACTATAGGTCAGGTAAACCTCAATTAGGTTCAAGTGAGCCAAATTCAGATCCAAATAGTCTCAAATTTGGTTCAACTGTTTCGGGTAAAACTACTATTCAAAATCTGAAACATTTTGCCAGAGCCAAAATAATTTCATCCCTAGTGAAAATTTTGGTTTTGTCTGAAACACTATTTGAAACCATGTTATTGGGATTTCAAACATTCTGAAATCTACATAACCAGTGCCTTGTTATTCGACATATTTATCGATTTATTTTATGATAAACTTTATTCAGTTAAATCACAGATGTAAATATTAGTTTATTCATAGTTTCTAATTAATAT